CTACTCCTCAGCATAATTGCTGTTTACTTGTGGAGTAACAGTGAAGCTGGGGAGCAACCCAGCACAGCAAGAGCACCATCTGGATTACATTTTATGCAGTAAATCTGGTTAAAAAATAAAATATTTCTCTCCAGAAGCTACTAAGAGCAGGGCAGGACCAGAACAGGGGACCAAGAGTGCCCTCCATTGTTTGGAATTAATCACATTGTTTGGAAGTGGATGGGAACATGGTGTTTAACTTTGTTCTAGAGAAATGCAACCGGTGTGTGACTGTTCTACTCAGATTGCAGCCTGGCATTATCACAGCAATCTTTAATCTTCAGTCCATCACCCATAATTTGTCTGAAATCTCCGTTTCAATGTCCTTAGTCCTGATGCCGCAAGTGTAAACATTTTGGTGAACTGACTAATCAACATTGGCGGCTGGTGAATTTTTTAGTTGGTGGGGCACAATTTAACAGGTGTTGTGCCAAAAAGAGCATGTCAGCTGAGATTTGCATGACCTGTCATGGGAAGGTGCGTATGAATAACCAGTTTTTTTTTAAATAAACTTGTACTATTAATATGTTTCTTATCCATTTGCTTCCTTACAAAATGACGGTTTATGGGCAGACAAATAAAAGACAGTTTATTTGAAAATTATAATAATGAATCTTTAAAAACAAATTGAGTCACATTTCTGGTTTTTCAAACCAACAGAAAAATTAAAGCAGGTAGAAAAAAATAAAATAAAAATGCTCACTAAACATCATCTCTAACGTGTTTAAATATGACAAAAACGTATATATTTCATCATATTTCTAGTCAAAAACAAAAGGTTTTCTGGAGAAATGTGGATTAGAAAAATGTTGACATTATGAATGTATAAAAATAGCCTCATCGCTCATAATTCTAATAATTAGGTCTGGAAGTTGTGGTCGGGACGACTGGGCTGATTTCAGATGCACTAATCACATATCACCACCAGGGAGTGACACATCACCATTCTTATGCATCACACCGACAGATGATAACAGCAAAATTGTTCCAAAAAACTGGCTTAAAATCCACCAATAGATGCAAATTCAGCATGAAAACAAACAAAGCTAACTTCATCAAGTTAAAAGCATTAATGCAGTCTTACCTTTGCCGGTTTAAGGTTGTAATGTGTTGTAGTAAAAATAATCCACCTTTTTACCTACAGGAGAGAGTTCAGAAGTCTCTGATGCCAAATTCCATCATTTTCTGCTTCTTCATAACAAAACTCCAGGAGGTGTAGTCAGCTGCTCTACAACAGCACAGGACAGTGACCTGTGGAGAATATCTGGTTCTGTTCTGTCCTGACCTGAGCCGAGACTATGGTCTATGGTGGTACAGTGCCCTAGCACCCCCTGTGGACGAGCCGCCACAACTATACTAGTATTTAGAGGTGGGATTTTTTTTACCAAATGATTATGGAAGTTGCTGGTATTAAGAGACCGATCCAGGTGGGGAAAAATGTTAAATAAAATTTGAATACAATTAATTAATTAATTACAAATACTTTAATTAATTAGATTAATTCTTTGAATTAAGTCCCATCCCTAATATATAGAGCTCCGGGAGTTGACCTCACTTCTTCCGGCATGCAACAGTTCAAATGGAAACAGCGCCATCTTGGCAGGCAGTAGCCCGCAGCTGGACTATTTGTTATTGTCAGAAAACTCAATCAAACGGGAAATATGGTAGATTCCTGTTGTGCCCCAGGATGCAGAACAGACGCGGACGACACAAGGGATGAGCGATCTACAGGATTCCCCAAGATCCGGAGCACCGCAAATGTTGGATCATTGTAATAAAACACACTAGTGACCTCGCTAAAATGAAGCTGTGGGATCCCGAGAGTAAAGGTTTTCGCTTATGCAGCGACCGCTTCATATCAGGTACTTAAACCAACTTTTCCTCAATTGTGTGTGGTATTTATTTTAAATGCTTTTATTACGATTCTTAGTGGGCTTCCTAAACTTATTTTGGCGTGGCTTTTTCTGTCTTATTACTCATAGCAACAAGTAAACATCATGTAAAACGTTGTCTCGTGAGTTCTGCATGCTGCCGTTTACGTGTTTTATGATCACAGCAATTAACCGGCTAAGCTGTATTTAATTTTTAAGCAATGGTTGATCAGTTGTCAGATCACACATAAAAATCACTTTGGATTGCTATTATCTGTCTCACTGAGACAGATCTCAGACAGATCCTGAGATGCTCCTGCCTGACATATTTACTTTATTCACGGAAAAAAATCTAACTAGTGATTTCTCTTGGCGTTCAGTTTATACATTCAAACAGCACAGCACTCTATTTAAAACTACTTACATGTAAATCTGTTATTTGTCCATCCTTCCATCCATTTTCATCCGCATATCCGGAGTCCGGTTACGGGGGCAGTAGCGTCGAGAGGCCCAGACTTCCCTCTCCCCAGCCACTTGGGCCAGCTCCTCCGGAGAAATCCCAAGGGGTTCCCCAGCCAGGTCCGGTAAGAAGTCCACTCCGACAGCTTCTGGCATTTTTAAAAAGTATCCCAGGGGCACGATAAGGGTCGGAGATGTTTAGTCTATTTAATTTCTGACTATATAAAACAATTTCTTCGATTTTAAAGTGTGAAGTAAACTCCGACGAAGTAAAATCCAAGCCGATCCCGTTCAATTTGTTTACATTTGTTGCCTGCCAACATGGTGTCTACTCTCTGAGAGTCACGTGACGTCCGGAGCTCTATAGGGTTTCCCCCAGCACTTTATAAGCCTGGCCTTGCTTGGTCGTCCACCCCTCTCCTCTGCAGTGGAACGATCTGTGTGTACAACAAACCCCAGATCCAGGTTCCCATCTCACTATTTCCACCTTGTTCCAGTAGCCCACTTTGTCATCAGGGTGCTGTGGTTTCCCATCATCTCAATCTTTTTGGGTTGCTGGGGATTTTATTCAGAAAGTGAAACTTGTACATCAGATTCATTCATTACACACAGGCTTATATATTTTTATTGTTTATTTCTTTAATGTTGATGTTTGTAACTGACAACTAATGAAAATCCCAAATGTAGTACCTCACAATATTAGAATATTAAGACCAATGCAACAAAAGGAATTTTAGAAAAGTGTGAGCATGTACAGCACTCAGTATTTAGCTGTGGCTCCTTTTGGCCTGGGTTACTGCAGCAATGTGGTGTCCAATGGAGCCCATCAGTCTGTGGCACTGCTCAGGTGTTATGAGAGCCCATGATGCTCTGATAGTGGCCTTCAGCTCTTCTGAACTGTTGGGTCTGGTGTGTTGCATCTTCCTCTTCATCATACCCATACCCATCTTTTATGGGAATAAGGTCAGGACAGTTTGCTGGTCAATCAAGAACAGGGATACCATGGTCCTTAAACCAGGTACTGGAAGTCCCACAGCAGCTTGGCTCTCTGGTTCTCCACCACCTTAGGGGGCGTTACCCACTTTGACCCTGGGGCTTCCAGTCCATACTCTACACAGATGTTTCTACATGATGCCAGCCTCTTGTGGTGCTCAGGGTTCTTTACTTTGGGTCTTGTATGGTGTGGTAGATCTTGGCCTCGGTGCTCTGGTTTTCAGGGTCTGTTCCTGCGCAGCCATGATGAGTGCCTCTGTGCTGTCCTTCAGACCAGTTCACCAGGGGGCAAAATCGTCCTCTGCTGCCCGTGGATAAAAGGAAGTGACGTCACCAACGCCAGGGATCTCTGATGTTGTGACTGTAAGGTTAAACGAATAATTTGTAAGCTTTTACTTACTTTTTGGATTCTTCAATAAATTTGTAAATATGGAAATATCTACATATTTATTAATTAATTAGGATATCCGGGGATATCCTCGGGGCACCACCCATTCTAATTAGAAAGGGAAATGAATCTAAAATTCCCAACAGTCTCGTCTAAACGTTTCGTGAATCCTAACGAGCTGCTGTTGAATTTTATAACACAAACAAATCACCTTAGACAGAATCTTAATTGACTAACATTTATTAACTAATATCACTTCACTTCAGCTCCTTCTGAAGTGTTCAGCCAACAATATTAACCAACTGATTTTATCAAATGAATAACAACAATGAAATGATACCGTAAAACAAGGAGACCCCAATGGATGGGTGTGTTTTAGTCGTGTGTCCTCTTAAACACTGAAAACAAACGCGTGTGTGTGTGTGTGTGTGTGTGTGTGTGTGTGTGTGTGTGTGTGTGTGTGTGTGTGTGTGTGTGTGTGTGTGTGTGTGTGTGTGTGTGTGTGTGTGTGTGTGTGTGTGTGTGTGTGTGTGTGTGTGTGTGTGTGTGGAGCAGTGATGTGATGTTGGAGGAATGTGAGCTGTAAGCTTTGACTTTTCCTCTCAGATACAGACACACAAAAAGTTTAGTTCTTACTTTTAACTCAATCACAGTAAAACTTAACGTTTCAGTAATGTGGCACGTTTCATGCATAGTAACTTAAACACTTCAAATGCTAATTTTCTTCACAAGGCTCAAGAAAAACAACTCAATCAAAGGGCAAATGAAAATATCTAACAGAGTCGGTCAGCCTGGCCACAGCTGACCGTCAACAACCCAGATATTAAAGGCACAGTTTGCAACATTTAAATGTAGAATAACTTTAAAAATGTTTGATTTTGACCATCTGACCCAATTTTATTAAAAAAAGTAAATAATCTTTAATATTTCAATTTTCTCCTAAGTCCCTCCCCTGCCCTGTAGAGCTCAGCCAATATTTCTTCAAGCCTAACGTGTTGACCAATAGCGCTGCGTTTCCACAAGGGGGCAGCTGTCAATCATCGAGCACGAGCATTAGATCTCAGCGTGCACAACAGTGTCACGCACCTCACTCGGCTTACTGCAGAAACATGGAGCAACAAAACCCCAAATTACCGATTCCTCGACTGCCTTCTACATCTCAAAAAACATTTAAAAAGTTTAAAAGCCCTTCTTCAAAAGTGGCTGTTAGACGTTTGAGACAGTTGAGTAGAATTTACATTGGAGATTGTTTTACACATGATGGAGAGATTTTCGTGATCTACACGGCCTGAAAACGGATGAAGAGTTGGCAAAGTATCTTTTAGACAGGTAAGTTATTTATTGTTTTTCGGATACATTTACTTATAATCTTTCTTTCACTGAAAGAAGTAATAGAGCAAACCAGCTTTGTATGCTTGGTGTCCTATTGGCTAATGTAGCATTAGCTTGAATGCTAAGTCGACATGAATCGATGCTAGTCGAACTATTTATGCTATATTTGGAAGAAGTTTGAGTAACGAAAGGGGATTTTAGTTTTTTGTTTATATGGGAGCTAATGATTAGTGTGGCGTTTAACTATAGGCCACATCAGTATACTATTTTAAGCTCTTGTTTATAACTTCCCCGTTAGCGGGGTTCAGTTAGCATCTTGAAAGCTGAATTAGGTGTTTACACTTTCCTGAGCTGCGTGTTTGATTAAAATGAGTAATCAGCAGCTCATGTAGTACTTGTAGAAGTCTGAGGAGACGATTCAGCAGTTAGAATTAGGTGTGATTGATCAGGAACGTATCCAAAACCTTGCGTTTCCATTAGCACCGAAAGACATATTGTGCTAACCTGGGTGGGCCACGTGTACAGATTACTGTCTGAGTTTGTGGTCTTACCTACGTGAAAACTCCATATTAAAATAAAAGGAATGATAATCAGCTCGTGCAAAAGGCTCGTGTGAAGGCTGGGGAAACTTGTTTAGCTTGTGATCACTAATTTTTGGGCTTTGTTTTTTACAGTCATCAGTCCAAATATGAAGCATCAACATCTACACCACTGAAGCGCCAACTGTGTATTTCTCCAACACCAGTGCCAGCTCTGTCTAGCATTCATGGAGAATCATCTGAAAGGTAAATAGCTACGTAAAAACCTACCAGGAATATTATAATTTTGCCTCTGTTTTAAGTTAGTGGTGGATTATTTTGAAAAAATTCTAGAAATGGGATAATGAATGACTATAAAAAATGTATAGAAATAAATAGTAAAACTACATTTTATATAGCGCCTCTCAAGATAAAACTCTCGAGACACTTCACAACAACAAAATTAAACATATTTTAAAAAATTATATTTTTATTTCAAAGTTTATGAGAAAAAAATAACACAATTGTGTTTTTAAAATGTAAAGAGAGAGACAGGAAATTATTTGTAAAGAAGGAATTCTGTGGATACAGAGAAATGCGTAATAAATAGAGTGAGAAAAATAAGGAGAGGGTGATGATGACGGCCAATAGACGAGGTCTATTACCTTCAAAATGACAAATAATGTATTGATTGTAATCATATTCTTGTGCTTGTATTTTATTTTCATAGGGATGATAATTTGGAGGAGGTGATGGAACAAGGTGAAACTAAAAAAGAAGGATCTTCACAAATGTAAGTACAAGGTTGTATCTGTATTTGGCTGTCACATTTGTCAGGAAAAGTAAACAATAAATACTTTTTTAGGTTATCTTGTGTGGGAATTGAAGCAAACATTGACGAGGAAGAGTTCAACAATATTCAAATCTCTGTAAGTATTCAGATGTTAATAAAATGTGTCTAATTTTCCATACTAAAAACTTTATATTGTGTATATTCAGGATAGAGTCATCAGATGACACATGGTCACCAAACAGAGAACCAGAAGTTGATTCGTCTTCAGAGGAGGACGAAACCATCGAGATGGACAGCGGTACTGATGACAGCGGTGATGAGGACTACACACCTTATTTACACATAAGGTAATTCCTTTCGTTTAACATTCTATAAAACTGCAATAGCGCATAGTTAATAAAAAGCTTTTGTTCACAGGACTGGAGCAGCATTACAAAAAACATTACAACTTGAGACTCTGCAAGAAATTAACATAGAGGATACAGTTCATGACTGTAATATCCCAGAAGCAACTGACCGACGTTTGACAAGCAAGAAAGGTCTTCCTCGACGCTACAAGCTAAGGCCTGAGGATCCAAGGCGTTATGGTTTGCTGTCCGGAGTTCCTGCACCATCAACAGAGGAACGTCTACAACACCTACGGACTTGCGGTGATGGTAAAATAAAACATTATCTGCCTTACATCTTCCACACAATAGTCCATTGCTAATTCAGTTTATTTTTTATTTACAGGTAAAACTTTGCCACAGACATAGGTGTTGGGGGAGGCAAGAGAAAACCCAAAACCTTCTTTATTTTTGTTTCCTGTGTTTTTTTTTTTTTGAAAATAAAGATATTTTTTGGGGAAATAAGGACTAATAATTTAAAAATGTATGTAAAATGTTGGAGGTAGACATAATTTTTTGTTGTTGTGCAGGAGTTTTAAAATTTATGGTATTTTTACAAATGCAACACAGAGTTGTGCTTTAAAACACTTTATTAGAGCATCAAACAAAAATATATAAAAACAAACTTATGTAAAATATCAAATATATACATTTATTTACAATCGTCTTGGAATAAAACCAGTGTAGTTACCATTGGGGTCAGGGAATTTTGCAGAATAAACTCCTCCATGTGTGGTACAGTTGAAATACATGTCTGGGGAGGCTGTTGGCAGCATTTCTTTTCCAAATCAGTTGGCATATCTCTGCAGTGGGAGCATACACACCATGAAGGTTGATTGGGTGTTTGAGGTGTTGTGGCAGGTGGACCAGAGAGGGCAAGTACATCAAAGAGAACACCAGTGTCTGTCCAGCACCATGGTAAGGATGTCAATAGCCTAATGAGGGTTCAGGTTCTGTATGTGTTGCTACAAAAGTGGAAAGAGATGCTACAGCAACAGTTATGCTTACACGTTCAAAGTCTATTCGCTCGGAACAAAGATTCCGAACTCGAGAGAGATCTTCATCTCCAAGGTCCACAGCTGAGTGTCTCACACTTCTTCGGCCTCTGGATGCACCGCGGCCTCTAGACACACCACGGCCTCTGGATGCACCGCGGCCTCTAGACACACCACGGCCTCTGGATGCACCACGGCCTCTGGATGCACCACGGCTTTGAGATGATGGTGGGCATCTCCTTTTTGCACCACGTCTTGAGGATGCAATAGGAGGTTCAAACTCTTCCTCAGAGGATTCCTCAATCACTGAACTCTAAATTGTATTAGAATTAAAAAAAATCTTGCATATTAATCAATTTTGACACAGATCAGGTTTACATCTAGTCAAAATTTGGGCTAAACCAACAATAAACAGAAACCCTATGAAAACAACCATGATTATAGGAGGACTACACAGAATGCAGTGTTTATTCATGATTTCCACATAACTTATATGCTTTGATATATTCATCCCATCTTGAATGGCAAAGCAATTAAAAATAAGCTAGTTACTTGTAATAAAATGCTAACAATTTGATAGGATTAATTTTATTTACAACTGTTGCCAACTGTTACTGGTATTTTAAAATATAAATATATTTATAGATATTCTTTATAAAATGCCTTTTGTAAACAGTAAGTGTTTAATGTGCTGGTTAAATACAACTCTTACCTCAGATAACTCTATTGCTAACACTAGCTCAGCTCTATTACAAGAAGCAATGCTCCGATGTTGACTCTGCTTGTCCTGCGCGTGCACATTGGGAGGTGTGGCTTTCGGCTCTTTCAGGAAGGGCGGGGGAGTGAGCAACAGCCGTTCGAATTTAAAAATCTCCTCCTCCTCACCCTGACGGCGTCATCCTGCGGACTGTGCCTTTAACAATAAAGAAACGGACTTTACTCTTTAAGATGATCCGATGGCGTATTTTGGTACGAAAGAGAGCCCGAAGCTACTTTAAAACGATCCGCGGTTTGATTGCTTATTTTGGTCTAGAAGAGACAGAAGAGAAGAAGAATTAAAATAAAATCAAACTCTTCTCTGATCGAGTGGTTCATCCCTCGTCGTTCAAACGGATTAGATGGCTTTCTCCGTTGATTCCAAACAGCTCGGCCGGCGCCCACGTGTCCAAAGGCAAAAGGCGAGCATATCTCTCCACATCAGCTAAGGCTGGACACAAAAGAGAGCAAAGTTTCGCTTTGTGCTGAGTTTTATAACTTACAGCGTCTCTGTGTGGTTCGCTCTGATTTGATGGTTTTCTGTTGCTTTCCAGCCAGGCCTCGTGTCGTGTCCGAAACCTTAGCAGAACGAGTGTCCCTTCAACCACCAGCTGGAGCTGGAACAAAGAGAACGTTTTTCTCGGTGCTTCAGCCCTTAAGCTCACCCATGCGGGGCGGGACCCTGGGAGTTCAGAGGTCATCACACTGCTTCCGTGTGCAAAGTCTTCTGGGAAATGAAGTTTGCTGGCGCTGATGCTTAAATATGCTCTTCAGAGCAATTTTGGCACAGTCTTTTGGAGAAAATGCTGCGTAGCAATTTTATGTTTATGTTTATGTTTATGTATTTAGCAGACGCTTTTGTCCGAAGCGATTTACAAGTGATAAACAACATTTTGCCCTTGAGGCTAACAACAATAGTAACAAAAACAAATTGACATCAGTCATGGAGAGGAGGGAACAAGGAGTGGACAGTAGAGAGGGGGGACGGGTGCAGGCAAGGTGCTAGTTAAGAAGATGCTCTCTGAAGAGCAGGGTCTTCAGGAGTTTCTTGAAAATAGAAAAGGAAGCCGCAGTTCTGGTAGTGTTAGGAAGGTCATTCCACATTTGTGGAACGATGCATGAGAAAAGTCTGGATTGTCCTGAGCGTGGTGTAGGCACTGCTAGTCGACGATCCTGTGATGACCGCAGCAGCCGGGCCGAGACGTAATCCTTTGCAAGAGGATTCAGGTAGATGGGAGCCGTACCGGCTCGGACTTTGTATGCTAGTGTTAGCAATTTGAATTTGATGTGTGCTGCTAGCGGTAGCCAGTGGAGCTCAATGAACAGAGGGGTGACGTGTGCTCTTTTAGGCTGATTGAAGACCAGACGCGCTGCTGCGTTCTGGACCATTTGAAGAGGTTTCACAGTACAGCCTGGAAGACCAGTTAGAAGAGCATTGCAGTAGTCGAGGCGGGAGATGACAGTAGATTGCACCAGGAGCTGGGTGGCATGTTGCGTTAGGTATGGTCGGGTCTTTTGTATGTTGTACAACACAAAGCGGCATGAACGGGCAACAGAGGCAACATGATCTTTAAAGGCCAGGTGTTCATCAATCACAACACCCAGATTTCGAACTGCCTTTGAAGGAGCCAGAGATAGGAAGTCATTCTGGATTGAGATATTGTGCTGTATGGATGGTTTTGCTGGGATGACAAGCAGTTCAGTTTTAGAGAGGTTGAGTTGGAGAAGGTGGAATTTCATCCATTTTGAGATGTCAGAGAGACAGTTTGATATTCGTGCTGAGATAGTGTGGTCGTCCGGTGGAAATGACAGATAGAGCTGGGTGTCGTCTGCATAGCAGTGGTAGGAGAAGCCATGTGATCGAATGATCTCACCCAGTGAGGTGGTGTATATGGCAAAGAGAAGAGGTCCCAGTACAGAACCCTGGGGGACTACTGTGGCAAGGTGGTGCACGGTAGAGGACTGTCCAAGCCAAGATACGCTGAATGATCGTCCTGTGAGGTAAGATTCAAACCAGGCGTGTGCTTTCTCTGTGATGCCCATGGTAGAGAGTGCGGACAAAAGGAAGCCATGGTTGACAGTGTCAAATGCAGCCGATAAGTCGAGCAGAATAAGCGCTGAGGATTTGCCAGTCGCTCTAGCTTCTTTTAAGGATTCAGTCACTGCTAACAGAGCAGTTTCAGTGGAGTGGCCCTTTTTGAACCCAGATTGGTAAGGGTCAAGCAGACAGTTTTGTGAGAGGTATTCTGTAATCTGCTTGAAAGCCACCCTTTCAATGATTTTGGACAGAAAAGGGAGGAGAGAGATAGGTCGGTAGTTCTCCACATGATTTGGAGGAAGAGATGGTTTTTTTTTTAGCAGCGGTTTAACCTGAGCATGCTTGAGAGAGGTGGGAAATGTACCGGATGTCAGTGATGCATTGATCACATGTGTGACTGCTGCGGCTACTGTAGGAGCAATAGCTTGGAGCAGCTTAGTTGGAATAGGGTCAAGTGGGCATGTAGTAGGGTGGCTGCACGTGAGAAGCTTGGACACACAGTTCTCAGTGACAGGGGAAAAAGAGGAAAATGAAGCAATAGGGCCTGAGATGGTTGGTCTTGAAGGAGATTGTGGTAGTGAATGTTCAGGAGTGGCCAGTTGAGAAAACTGTTTTCTTATCGTTGCCACTTTGTCAGTGAAGAATGAGGCAAAGGTGTCAGCTGATAGATTGTTGGTAGGAGGTGGAGATGGAGGGTTGAGCAGAGATTTGAAAGTTGAAAATAGTTTCTGAGAGTCAGTAGAGCTGAGAATTTTGTCAGTGTAGAAAGCTTTCTTTGCATCAGTGATGCTGGCAGAGAATGAGGACAGTAATTCCTGAAATTTCAATAGATCACCAGGATCTCTTGTTTTGCGCCATTTCCGTTCCGCAGCTCTAAGATTGGTGCGTAGAGCCCGGAGGGTATCATTTAGCCAAGGGTGCGACTGAGAGGATCTAGCTGGTCTAGTGGCTAAAGGGCACAAGTTGTTAAGACAAGAGCCGAGTGTGGAGCAGAGTGAATCAGTGGCTTCATTCACTTCATAAGCAGAGAATGTGCTGGGAGAAGGAAGAGTGGAGGCAACAAGAGAGGAGAAGTAGTTGGGTGCCAGATTGTGGAGGTTGCGGCGGAAAGAGACCATTGGGGAGGAAGCAGTGGACCTCCCTTGTAGAGTCGTGCTGAAATGGATGAAGTAATGATCCGAAAGATGCAGCGGTGTGACAGAGATTGTGTCTATGGCACAGTTCCTGGAGAAAATGAGGTCAAGTGCTTTTCCAGGTTTGTGAGTTGGAGGGCTTTGTACGAGTTTTGAAGGAGACATAACATGCATTTAAATTATTCCTTTTTTGCAGCTAAATCATTCAGTTGGTGTCTAAAAATAGTGAAACAGCCTTTCTTTGGTCAGATTTCCTCATTAATGTTGATCTAAAGACCCCTCCTTTACCCCTATTCTGAGCACACGGTCAGCATGAGCCGTTCTAGGTACTGTCTCTTTAAATCTGGAAGAAGCACTGAAACTCCGCCCCTTCTTCTGAGCAGGAGCGGAGGGGGTGACTCCAGTCGTACATTTTAGTAGTTTTTTTAGAGAAAACGCTATTTAGCATATCTGAACCTTTGTGACAGCATTTTTTTGACATGTCGGGAGATTTGTCTATCCAGCCGTACATGTTTGAGCCAGAGTCCGACCCTGAGCAACAAGACAATGAAGAGAATGATTCTGACCAACCACGGCTACAAATGCATGTAAACCAATGGTATATCACTAGCACTTAATTACTATTTATTCGTTTATTCATCGTCCTCCTGCGCACTGAAACCACTGTGAAGAAAATCCTCTTGGGCGCTTTCTGTAGCACTTCTCTAACCATTCCTTCATTAGACTTTTATTTAATGTGGTTTTAGGTGTACATGTGGGAACTGCTCTACAATGCCCACTGAGATAGAAAATCTATGCTGTAAAGAAATTCCTAAGGTCAGTGTGTTTTACAATAAAACCTAAATCTATTTTACTTTCATTCTAAATAAAATATAACTTATTAGGTTAAAGCCAGAATGGATGAAGTATCAAGCACAATGACATGCATGGTGGATCATCCAGGGTTAGAGCCTGTCTGCCTCAATGTGTATTCACTGCAGAATGCAATAAATGTTTACAAGGCCCAGTTTGGACCCTTACGTCTAAGAGGAATTGTACAGTAAGAAAAAAGTTTTTATTGGTTCTTCATATACAAATATTATTTAAAAAAATCTCACAGCAAATACGTAAATCCAAAGCAAAAAAAAAAAAAACACTATAGTAGTGTTAATGGACATTTGTTAATGTCTTCTCTTTCTGTTACAGTCGTTACAGGTACTGTTCATACAGATGCTTTGTTTCCTGGTGCTGGGGATATCTGGGCCGCAATGTTCGTGTCGTCCTGCCGTCTTGTGTTGTGCTCAGGATACGGCAGGAGTTTCCAGATGATGAGGGGCGTTATGTTGGCTTCAAACCGGTGCTGGGTTGAAGCGGGAAACATAGGCCGAGACAACTGTTGTCTTCTCTGGTCTGG